CAAAATAAATAAACATTGCTTTCTTTTCTTTCCCAAATGCTTTCTGCCTCTTCTAATAGGAAGGCTTATATCTAAAACAGTGTTTATAAACTTTGCTGCAAGTGCAGGGGCCACCTGGTTAGATAAATAACCCCTCTTTATGTTTTCATCTTTAAGAGCATGGGAGTTCATATTTTCAGTAACTCAGATAATTCTAGCTGCATTAGTGTATGCCTTTCTATCCCCTTAATTTCTAAACTCTTTTTAACACTACATTGTTACTAAAACATTTAAACCTCAGATTAAATATTTATTAATGACTTGAATTATTTTGTTTCCTAGGCAATACAATAACAATTCTTAACACAAACTTGCTTGCAGCAAAAGATCTCAGTAATACTTTTCATAGCATAAAATGGCACCTGCCATGCTTATACATGTGTGAAACAGGCCAACATGTTTGCCCCTGTGCAAAATGGCAGCTACCATGATTGTGCACATGGACTCTAACTGCACTTGAGACCTGTTCATTATTGTCAGTTTTCTAGATTTCAGTGTCCAAGTTGCTATCAGTTTCAGTCACTGATACATTTGCACGAACCAGAAATAACAACTCCTGGTTCTGATCTGGCTAGTTGATTGGCTGTAAATGCAAAGAATCAGGGAATGAACTGGCAAGCAGATTCTGGCCAGTGAATGGCAGGAGGTTTGGTGAAGCACCTGGTGGACCTCCACAAACCACTGATGATCTGTTCATTACAGATTGAGTATCACTGATCTAGAACAGACGAGTGCTACAATTCCTGTTTTCAGATGACAAGCAGAGTAGTTTAGCTCTCAGATGCAAAAGGAAGATGCATTTCTGTCTCCAAGTGGGGGGCACTGCCATTTTCCCCAAGGGAAGGAAGGGTTGGCTGATCTTTTGCTGACTCTTTATCGGTGGATGCTTTCAGTCCTTAATGGACTGAAAAAGCAAAAGGAATGCCAAAAGAACATTTAAAAAACATTTTAAAGTAAATTCAGTTATTAACCATAGTATTTTCTGAGTAAATTAGATATGTAACAAATATGCCAAACGTGTTAATTGTATGGGTAAACCAAGTTATACACATTGCATTGTATGTTATTAAAACAGCAACATGAACTTAGATCAGTAAAGAGTGATAAAAAAAATGAGCATTGCATGTATTTCAATTTTTTTCCCAAATTCCACTTTTTCTGAATTTTTTTTTCCCTTGGCTTCAAAATTTCTGGAAATTTTACATCTCTAGAGCTACATGAATCAATTTTTTAAATCTACAACTCAGTATTCTGTATATACTTATATACTTCTTTTAAGTACAGTGGTACCTCGGGTCACGAATGCTTCTGTTCACGAACAATTCGGGTCACGAACAGCACCGTTCGCAAAATTTTGCTTCCATTCACAAACTCCGCACCAGGTGACGAACAGGATCCGCGGCCATTTTCCCTGCTGTGACACGTGGTCATGGCTTCCTGTAGGGAGGGGGTCTCTCCCTCCACAC